CATCATCTCCTCTCACATCATCTCCTCTCACATCATCTCCTCTCACATCATCTCCTCTCATCATCTCCTCACACATCATCTCCTCACATCATCTGCTCTCTGTGTTCCTCCAGAGACAGGAGCTGGAATCGGAGAACAAAAAGCTGAAGAACGACCTGAACGAGATGAGGAAAACAATTTCCGAGCGTGCGTCTAAAAACAATACGTCCAATGAGCTGCAGGACGGCTACAACCTGCTGCTGAGTCAGCTCAAATCAGCCAATGAGGAGCTGGATGCTCGTAAGGAGGAAGTCCTTATTCTGAGGACTCAGATCGTCAGCGCTGTTCAGCTTCGAGAGAAGAACGACCAAATAGTACGCTAAACATTTTCTACTATTCGTGTTTCATTCTGCAGTTTTTCAGCATTTAGAAACAATTCATTGTTCTGTTTCCTGGAGAGCGTTTAGAGCGAATGTAGCAGTAAACAGCAGTGTCATCTGCATACAGGCAGACCTTTGTGGGTCCGAATTAACTGTATTAATATATATGAAGAAAAGAAGCGGCTCCAGATCTCAAATCTGAGCCATATTAAAAACAGATCAGTGTACTTTTAACATTGTGTCCCAATAAACACACAGACTGGTTATTAATGCAGCTGTTACTGAATCCCTCTTCATGTTGAGGTGAAATAACGTTTATCGTTTCCTCTGTTTCTTCAGGACAGCAGTAAGGTTCCTGAAGTGATTATCAGCAAAGAGCCGGTGGATAAAGAGGAGGCTCTCAAAGCCTATCACGGACTGTGTGAGTCCAAAAAGTAAGTGACATCATCTCCTCCTGGAAAACAACATTTAAAGAGACAGTACGTTTATTTTCCTAGAAGGGTCAATGTACAAATATTCAAAGCAGGTTTGATATTAAACCAAACACCGGACTGGTATACTGAGTTTTACCAGCAGGTGTCTCACTTGACTGTAACATGAAGACACTGAGAGTCCATAAAGGAGTGTAGAGACTCCAGTCCACTAGGTGGCAGTACAGGAACCCTAGAGTAGTTTGCCAACTGCCCATAAAAGCTAAAGAGGAAGTCTTTGTTTCTCAGCTCAACTCTTAATACAAAATGTTGCCAAATTGTTGAAGCTTTAGTTTTCTTTGAGACCCTTACACCTGATTTAAATCATAGTTTAACTTTTAGTCTTGTTGCACCAAACTTTAAAACGAATAAACAATCAATCAAACATTACTTTATCTTTTACTCTGAACTTATATTAAAGTTTTGCTGCAAGAGAATTCATTTTAAACTCCACTTGAAACTTTGAGCAAATATTAAGTTTAAAGTTTCACTTCAGAAGGTTTCACTTTAAAACGGCTCCTTTTAGATGAACGGAGCAAAACAATGAAGTTCTTTAAGAAAGTTAAGTTTAGAGACGCACTCAGGTGGCAATATCCTCCATTAATTCAGCCTATATATATATATATATATATATTACAGGATTTTCTGTACGTTAACTTGAGTAGTATTTTGAATGTGTTCCTTGTGATGGAGGACGTCATCATCGTTGTTGTCGTACACTTTTCCGTGTGTGCTGCTGGTGTTTTACAGATGTTAGTGTAACAACTTTCTCTTCAGTCTCTTCTGTCTGCATCAAACAGCAGCTCATCGGCCATAAGAGGTGTCTCTCTCTGTCTGTCTGTCTCTCTCTGTCCTCTGGAGTCTTCCTCACAATCTGCTTTGCTTCCTCTTCGTCTTCCTCTGCTGGACTCCAGCTCCCTGCAGGACTGGTGTTATCTGAATGAAGATGGAGAGCTGGGTTTGGCTTACCAGGGCCTCAAACAAGTGGCCAGGTCTCTGTGTGCTTCTTCTTCTTCTAGTTCTGCTTGTTTACTTCCTCTTCCCCCTCCTCCTCCTCTTCCTCTACCACCAGCTCTGTACTGTGTGTTTGACTCTCTTCTTCTTCTAGTTCTTTCCTCACAGAGGGTCTCGGTCCAAATGCCAAATCATCAAACTCCACATCAGAGTTTATCATTATTTTATTTATCTGTGAATCGAAAGATGAGAAGAAAATGTGAACAGCTGATGTGGATAAACAAGTGATGGAGTCTGTCCACGACTACTTAATCACTACATAAGTGATACATTATAATATGTATTTCTTTATTTCTCATCCAGCTGTTATTTGTGTATTTATGACATGAATATAAAGTATGAAGATAAATATTTACTTTTCAAATGACTGCACAAATGAAATGACCGTATAACTCAAATAAAGTATAATATATTACAGTATGTTACAGTACATTACAATACATTACAGTACATTACAATACATTACAGTATATTACATTACAGTACATTACAGTATGTTACAGTACATTACAATACGTTACAGTATATTACAGTACATTACAGTACATTACATTACAGTACATTACATTACAATACATTACAGTACATTACAGTATATTACATTACAGTACATTACAGTATATTACAGTACATTACAATATGTTACAGTATATTACAGTACATTACAATACATTACAGTATATTACAGTATATTACAGTACAGTATATTACAATACATTACAGGACATTACATTACAATACATTACAGTACATTACAGTATATTACATTACAGTACATTACAGTATATTACAGTACATTACAATATGTTACAGTATATTACAGTACATTACAGTATATTACAGTACATTACAGTACATTACAGTATATTACAGTACATTACAATACGTTACAGTATATTACAGTACATCACAGTACATTACAGTATATTACATTACAGTACATTACAGTACATTACAGTATATTACAGTATATCAAATATAGTTAACTTCAGTTCAAATCATAGTGAAGCTTTAACCTGAAACATCAGTAAAGAGCTTCATGATAATATTTTACTGCATTTCTACATTCTAACAAGCCGAACATATACTCAATATAAAAGACAAGATATGAATATTTATTTCCATATGTTGTCATGTATGAACAACACTAAATGTAGACTTCTTGATTACTTTAATTAAATTATTTAAGATTGATTTATCTCTATCTTTATCTATAAAGTACGGAATAAAAAGACCTTTAATAGATATTAATCTATTAAAATTTATTATTATATAAATAATACAATATTATATTATGATAATATCATAATATAGTATTATATTATTATATAATGTAATATTAATAATATTATATTGTTATATTAATAATATAATAATATTATATTAATAATATAATAATATTATATTGTTATATTAATAATACAATATTATTATATTAATAATATTGTATTATATTATTAATAATATATGTTTTTGTAGGTCCACTAGTTGGTCGCTACACTTTAAATGATCTCTCAGTAAAACCTAAGATATAGAATTTATATAACAAACTTCGTGACTTTGTTGGGGTCTATCTTCAGCGGCGGATTAATCCTCGTTCACTGCTCTAGTGAGTGTTGGTATGGGTCGGGTCGGGGTGAGTCCAGGTATCAGATGAGTTTGTTCTGGTTGGGAGATGAACTCAGAAGTTGTGGTCGGGTGATTCAAAGCATTTAAACGTTCCATAAAAGAGATATTATGTTCTATAATAATAATCCTCCTCCTCAGGCTGCTGGAGGCTCAGCTCCAGACTCAGACCCGGCAGCACAAAGACGAGCTGGAGGCTCTTCACACTCAGATCGAGCTGCTGAGAGACGACATCGAGAAGAAGCAGGAGATCCTGAACTACACGGCGTCCCTGTCTCCAGAGGCTCGGGTGGAGTACAGCGTCCAGCAGGAGATCACCAGGCTCACCAACGACAACCTGGTGAGGACCAGCTCACACAGGACCTGTAGTTCTGATCCATTGAGAACCGGTTCCTGTTTGACTTTCATCGTGCTGGGTTGTTGTTGTTTGTAGGACCTCAAGGAGCTGGTGGAGAAGCTGGAGAAGAACGAGAGAAAGCTGAAGAAGCAGCTCAGGATCTACATGAAGAAAGTCCAGGAGTTAGAAGGTAAGAGCAGCTGTTCACACCTGCAGAGGACAGTCGATCAGCTGATCAGGGGACTAATGTGTCTCCATCTGTCTCTGTCTCCATCTGTCTCTGTCTCCATCTGTCTCCATCTGTCTCTGTCTCCATCTGTCTCTATCTGTCTCTGTCTCCATCTGTCTCTATCTGTCTCTGTCTCCATCTGTCTCTGTCTCCATCTGTCTCTATCTGTCTCTGTCTCCATCTG